TTATGCCGTACAGGTGGGGGAAAGTTATGTCGGGGTTGATTTCCCGTTCCCAGGGCCTGGTTCGAAGTAAGTGATGGGCCTCCTCTCGCAGTTGAACAGATGTGGGCTCTTTTGCTGACGTTGCCGCAATTCGTCGAGGGTGGTCGTTGTTCAGTCGGAGGGCCTTCTCTCTTGATCGGAGACAGTTAGCATTTATGGTGGACTGAATCCTTGGGACTCCCGTTTCAGCTCGAAGTGCCTCGATCGGTGAGGATTGGGCTTGGGTGGTAATCAGTCGCAGACATCTGTTTTGAATCACCTCCAGATTATTTATCAGAGTTTTGCTCAGCCACAGTTGCCAGCTGCTGCTCGCAAAGTTGAGAACACTTGGTATATGAGTGAGGTAGACCTTGCGTAGGTCGTCTTTCCTCCATCTCCATTTTGAGTGCGCTACAGCGCCGAGCATCCTCATCTTCTGTGTGGCCTTAGCCATTACTGTCTCAACCTGTTTCCTGAACGTGAGCCCGCGGTCGAATGTGACTCCCATGAGTCTTGCGTAGGGCTCATACTTAATTGTCGAATTATTTATCGTGATGCATGGCTTCCATTCCGAGTCAGATGTTGCGAGCGTGAAGAATGTAGTCTCGCTCTTTGAGCCGTTTAGCGTGAGTTTCCATCGCCTGCTCCTCGATTTTTCAAAGGCATACGACACGGTCTGACGAGAACGCCTACTCCTCACCCTCCTAGACAGAGGTATCCCAGATACATACGTTTTATGGCTGAATGACTTCCTTCAAAATCGTCAAATCAGAGTCCTATTCAACGGAATACTGAGTAATAGCAGAAAAATGAACCAAGGCCTCCACAAGGTTCGGTCCTGGCACCCATCCTCTTCCTTTTTTATATCGACGAAGTGGCGAAACTACTTGCGGACGATCTCACAATTTCACTCTACACTGACGACGTCTCTATCCTCGCTTCATCACGCACGACACGAGACGCCGAAAGTCTGGCACAAAGAGCGGTGGACACCGTTGCTGACTGTTGTTGTTGTTGTTGTTGTTGTTGTTGTTGTTGTTGTTGTTGTTGTTGTTGTTGTTGTCACCCGTGTGTGTGTGTGTATGTGTGTGTGTGTGTGTGTGTGTGTGTGTGTGTGTGTGTGTGTGTGTGTGTGTGTGTGTGTGTGTGTGTGTGTGTGTGTGTGCCTATCCGTTCGAAATATTTGGAGCTCCTAAGAGAGTGCTCTTCGCCAGGGCCACCGCCTCCCTTGGGTAGAGCGTGAAGCAGTCCAACCTCCCTGAATCCTCCACGAAGAGATGCCACCGTTGTTGCTGTTTTTGTTATTGTTGTTGTTGGTGGTTGCTGTTGTTGCTGGTGGCGGTTGCTGTTTCTGTTGTTGTTGTGTGTGGTAGCTTATCCTTCCAGATTGTTTGGAGCCCTGAAAAGTGGGCTCTTCGTCAGGGCCACCGCCTCTCTTGGGTAGCGGGTGAGGCAGTCCAATCTCCCTGAATCCTCCCCAAAGAGACGCCACCGTCGGGCTTTCGTTGCGGGGGTATCTCTGCAGCCAGTGCTCCAAATCTTGGGGCTTTTCGCTGCACAATGGGCAGATTGGGTCCAATGTATTGTTGTGGTTGCTGTTGTTGTTGTAGTAATTGTTATTGCTGTTGTTGTTGATGCTTCTGTTGCACATATTGTTGTTGTTGTTAGTGTTTACTGTTCCTTTTGTTGTTGTTGTAATTGTTGTTCTTCTTGTTGCTGTTGTTGTTGTTGTTGTTGTTGTTGTTGTTGTTGTTGTTGTTGTTGTTGCTGTTGTTGTTGTTGTTGTTGTTGTTGTTGCTGCTGTTGTTGTGGTTTTGTTGTTGTTGATGATGTTATTATTGTTGTTGCTGTGGTTCTTGTTCTTGTTGATTGCTGTTCTCTTTGTTTCAATTGTTGTCGGTGTTATTTTTGTTATTGTTGTTGCTGTTGTTGCCGCTGCTGTTGTTGCTTTTATTTTTGTTATTGTTTGCTATTATTTTTCTTGTCGCTATTGTTTTTGTTGTTGTTGTTTCTAGTTGTTCTCACCGTTTCTTTTGTTGGTGGGTTGTGGGTAGGGGGGGGGGTGTATGACGTGTCTGTGTCGCTAGTGGGTCCCGTTGCCTGCCCGTCTGTTTCTGTTCTTGCCGCGGAATGTGATGGTGGCAATAATGGTTGTCCCACTGCTATGTTTCTTTCTCTTTTT